CTCTCTCTCTCTCTCTCTCTCTCTCTCTCTCTCTCTCTCTCTCTCTCTCTCTCTCTCTCTCTCTCTCTCTCTCTCTTGCGCGCGCGTGCGCGTGTGCGCTCTTAGTCTCATTGCTTTGGCTACCTTAAGGCTACGTTTCCCGTGCCTACGAGGTAGACAATTGATGTGGTTGGGGAAGGGTAAGGTAGTGATTGTTTTGTCCTTATACACAACTCCAAGAGTGCGTGTGTATGAGGTCCGACCAGTGCTTTATTCACGATGTTTGTGTGTGTCTGGGGGGGTGTCGGATGATGCTTTATTCAAGATGTTCATGGGACACTGAACCCAGTTTCCAACAGGTGTTGCACCCCACCAATAGACAGGAGCATTCTGCCAAAAGTTTACTATAAGGGCATGTTCATATCGCCTTCTCTAGTGGGCTTAAGCTGAATTTTTTTGGGGTAAAAGAAAAACAGAGCGAGTGAGTGACTTCGCAGTCCGTCAGGGTTGTGTTGTCGAGCGCATCGGTCCTGCACAGGGCAGGACCCTTTCGACCGCGTCACGTAGGAGTTGGTCGACTCGCGATACACATGGAGCTTCCGCAAGCCGCTCAAGCCGCTTCGGCCGAGTGCGCCGGCCATACCGCTTACGAGCCCCTACGACAGGATAGGGCCAACACGAGGTACAACTTACTTCCACCTGAGGGAGCTGTCATCTCCCTTCGGTGGGTGTATCCCCGCCAAGCTACCAGTCCACAGTACAAAAGCTAATCAGTTGCAATCGCAAAGGTGGACCAGCCGATGACGTTTCTCGTTCGTTGTAGCATAGGAGGTAAGTGTGGTCCCGCGCCTCTATCGGACTTGCACGAGAACCGACGTACTGGCGGGCTGAAGTCCCAAGCGCGATTCCTCGTCGGTCGACTGGGACGCATCCCACTTACCACGCTTTACACCACACTTAAAACATAAGAATAAAACACACATACACACGGAACGACACAAAACAAAACAACGCAAACAATCATAGTCCCTTCAGTAACCATACCACAACTTTCTGATGCGGAAATCGGATAGACGATACACGCGAGACTTAGTATAAAACCGCACGGACGCAGGGCTTTCTCATATCAACTAGCAATGCATGCTTATGCAAGCGGTCGCAATCATGACGTACTATGTAGTACCCATACTCATGCGACCCTCGTTAATCTCGAGGTTCGTATTCGATACTCAAGTGTCGGTTGACACGCACTTTGAGGGGTTGATCTCTCGACACTTGACAATCCGCCTTGTGGCAGACTCCGGAAACCTTCTGCTTTCTTCCATCGGCTATCTCTATCTCGAAAAGGTAGGACCTGTACAAGTTCAACCCTAATCGCACGGCGAGCTCCTCGTCTATGATGTCAGCTTCACGGCCACTCCTTGAAGAACTATCTTATCATTGAGAACGGTCTCGACCGTCCCACTTCCTAGAATATAAAACTTGTTCAATAGCACCCGTTCCACTCCATCTAAGTATATTGTTCCCGCGTGTTCAGCCTTTGCGCTCACTCCCGATACTGCCACAGTGGGTACCTTTGGCTTGAAAGTCATCCGGACTTCGTCCCCCAGGGGAATCCGTGTCTTGTGTGTGATCATCTGTAGCTCATCTCGCGCGGGTCTCGAAGTCGCCAAGTACTCAAGTATCATACACTGCATAGGTTGTGCTTGCCTAAGAGGCTCCACGATATCAATATCGTCTAAGAAGCTTTTCATGGTAAACTTTCAGGTTTCGCGCTTGCACGACGAAAGTATGGCTTCCTCTCCTTCAATCCTCTGTCCGTCCTTCTCTGCCATCACATAATCCATGTCAGCCTTCTTAGAGGAAGATCCCCTTGCGGACTTACTCGTCGCGACCCGTATAAGTGTTGTAGGCGTCTCATCATTTGAAAACAAGCTCATCCGCACAATCTAGCTCCTCGCTGCTTCTTTGTCCTTGCTCGGGCGCACCCGCCTGGCCTGAACGTTCTCCTTCATCGAAGGGAACATTGATAGGTCACCCAGATCGTCTGCCCACTTGACGTACTTGCGCTCATCAAGTACAACAAATCCCTCATCTATGACCCGACTGAGGTCAGGACAATCCCTCTTCATGTGATCATCTGCCCTGCAATAGATGCAGGAATTTCTAGGAGTAGGGGGTCTCTCCCCTGCACCCCTAGTAACTGGCCCTCTCGTAGGCTTGACGTCTTGGTTGGAAGGCCCAGGAGATTTGGGATAGATTGGAGACTTCGGATATTCGGGCGAAGCAGGACACCCTCCTCGGTCATATTGCCTGCGCGAATCTTCTCGACGACCTCCACCACACTCTGCCCTCTCGTAACCGCCACGATATCCATCACAGTGGTCCCTGTCTGATTCCCATCTGTCGAGGGAGTCCTCACTGTCTCTCGAGTTGAAATTGTCTGGGCTCCGGTACCCTTCCATGTTTCCTCCATATCAAGGACTGCGTGGATACTGTTCCTGCCTTCCCCCTCGGCTAAAAGTGTCCACTCCGTGACTGTGTTACCGCGCGTTCATTGAATGCGCATTCCGCGTTCAGTTTATGAACGCAGTGAACGCACGTTCACTGAACGCTCCTGAACGCGATTGACGCGTTCGCGCAGGAGGGCTATGAGGGGTGGGGAGGTGCTTGTCGGTCACTGGGGAGCTTCGGCAGTGCTTGGGGGGGTCGTGTGGGTGGTCGTCAGGCAATGGCGGGGTTTGGGCCTCTGGAAAGAAAAAGAAAAAAAAAAAAGAAAAAAGAAAAAAAAAACGGTAACAAGTCCGAAGGCAAAACGGCCAAAAAAGGAGCGGCGCAGGAGACGACGACGGCGCGCAGCGAAACTAAGAATTGAACGCGCGTTCAATTTTTTTGAATGCGCGTTCAATTGTTTGAACGCGTGTTCAATTTGGTTGAACGCGCGTCCGATTCTTGGAACGAGGGCATTTCGCGGGCGTGGGGGTTGGGTCGCGGGCCATGGTGGGTGGGTGGCACGCCTGACAGGGGCCGCTCAGCGGTGGGCCGAAGGGGCCTTGTGTGGGGTGGGAGGTCGGCGGGAGTTGGGGCTTCGTGGGACAGCCTAAGGGCAGATCGCTTCGGTGAACCCATCGGCAGACGACCACAATGCCGCGAAGTCAGGCTCGGGTGTTTGAGGATGAGGGGGAGGACGAGAACCGCAAGGCGCATAAGAAATGTTGCGTGTACAAGTACATCTGCGTGGGACAGACTCTTGGCGAGAGATTCCGCGGCAATCGCATGTTGAAGTTGCCTTTTGCGGCCACGAGTTCCAGGGCAACCGATTTGTGGCGGCGCGCCATTTCCTGCACGACAAGGGATGTCCGGAAATGACCGACAAGGCACTTGTTGACATTCACTACAACAGCGACTATAAGATGTCAAACAAGTTCCTAGAGCGGATAGAGCGGTTTGAGGAGCTTCACAGTCCGGCGCCTGCGATGGATCCGCGACGGGACGAAGGGGGGAGGGAGAGATGAGGGACGCCGAGGAGCAGATCGACGTGGACGATGACGTCGAGGAGGTTGCGCGGGCGGGGTCGTCAGGGAGGGAGCTAGGGAAGGGCATTGTCGGCGAGCCGGGGGGGCAGCAGGGCCAGTACTTTGCGTCGACGCACGTGTTGGCTCGCACACGGGCAGGTGTCGATACGGATGAGGTGGGTCCGTCTACGGGGAAGAGGAAGGAGAGAGAGGAGGGGGCGAGGCCGACAGCAGCACAGAAGAGGCTGGGGCAGAACACCATCACTGAGTCATTCTCTTCAAAGTGGCAGATGGAGTTCAAGAAGAGGTGGCTGTGGTTTGTGTATAATCAGCGCTTGGCGTTCAATGTCTTCCGGAGCGAGCCGTGGTTGGACGTCGTCCGACACTTCAGGGAATTGCCGGGGCCAGTGAAGGTTTTGTGGCCTTCGGAGAACGAGATTGCGGACATAGAGACCATTGTCCACACGGCGAACGATGTGGGAGCTGATCTCGTGGAGGTCAGGGCTCCTTTCTATGTTACGGGGGCCACCATTATGTCAGACGGAAGGAAGTCACGCGATGCTAGACCCATCGTTAACTTCCTTGCCGGCGGGTTGCGTGGGGTGATGCTCGTCAGGTTGATGAACAGGGAGGGTGAGCGAAACCGGGCGCGTGATGTGTTGGCGTGCTGGATCAAGGTGTTTGATAACTTCCCCCCTAAGTGGGTGAACGCCATCTGCACCGACTCCGCCTCGGCGTACGTCGCTGCGACGAACATGCTCCAGGGGCCTGAGCAGAGGCCAGAGCATCTACGGATCACGTGGCTCCCATGCGCAGTGCATGTCTGCAACAAGATGTTGTCAGACATTGGTTGTTCGAGTGCGTGGTCCAAGGACATCATCGTGGGGCGGAGAGCGGTGGTGCACTTCATTAAGGAGCACGGCGCTGCTCTCCATATCTTCCGGGGGGAGAGCAGGCAGATGGGCCTCATTTATCCGTCCGAGACATGTTTCTCATCCGTGTTCGCGATGATGGAGCGTTTGCTGACAGTGAGGTCAGCATTGGAGAGGACGGTGGACGGCGATACTTGGGGTATGGTCCCTTGGGACCATTCTGTTCATCAGTTGGCTAGGTAGGTCAGGTGGCAGGTGCGACATGGCAGTTGGTGGGATTCCATGGGCATCCTTTTCCGTATCATGGAGCCTATGTACGACCTGCTGCGCAGGTTAGACCGTGGAGGGTTGCACATATCGCGGGTGGTTCAGTGGACACAGGATGTGGCCCGCCAGGTAGCAGAGGAGGTTTGTGCACTTTCGGCCGATGTTGCACACTACATTGTGCAGAGGGTGCAGGCTCGATGCGCTCACATGTTGGAGTCGGCGCACGCCGCTGCTCACCTTCTCTGTCCCAGTCGGCGGGACTTGCGGTACTTCGAGGGCGTAGTCAGCGACTACGACGCGAGCTTAGTGAGGGAGGAGGAGACTTACATCTTGTCGCAGACAGGGTTCAGTGTAGCGAGTCCCGAGTACGAGACCGCATGTGCGCAGTTGTGCGACTTCCACATACGGAGGGGGACGATTTCGTGGGGGGGAAAGGAGGGAGACAGAGAGGCACAGAGGTGCACCGGCGATGCGGAGACGTACGAGTCCGGGTGTTGGTGGTCGAAGTGGGGGCAGTGCGCCCCGCAGTTGCAGGTTATCGCTCTTCGTGTGATGTACATGTGGACATGCTCCTCTCCTGCGGAGAGGAATTGGGCCGTCCACGAGGGTGTACAGACGAAGAAGCGTAACCGGCTTGAGTTCGAGAAGGTTGCGAAGTTGGTTGAGATCTCAGCCAACGTCCGCCTTCTCTCTCGTCAGCGGGAAGGCCGCGGGTTTGCGCTGCCGTTGACTCTAGATGAGTCTTTGTTGGACGTGGAGGGAGGTATTGGGACTCGCCCCTCGTGGAAGGGGACGGACGAGAGCAGGACGCGGGAGGGGCTCGAGGATCAGAGACGTTCGTGGCAGCAAGACCCGTGTGGGTCCAGAGCTCCTCCGGGTGATGTGGGCGATGTTTTTGGGACTCGAGCCACCACTTTGCACCCGTACCCTCGAGATGACAGTGATTCTGAGGGTCACGAGGACGAGGACGAGCAGGCGGGCCCCGCTACTGCCACTCATGAGGCAGATAAGCGTGATGAGTGGAGCGACCCGGAGAGCGTCAGAGGCCTACGTCCACTGGCCCGCGGTCCGCTGAGAGGGAGAGAGATCTTGGGTCTGTACCTTCGAGGGGGGCAAAGTCGAGGATTGGTAGGGGCACCCCTGGCCATCGTCCTGCGCATGTTCGTAGTGACACGGTTGGTTCATCCACCTCTCTTCCCACTTCGACGGAGCAACTTCATCGACACCCCGCCCACGATGGTCGATTGCACAGATTTTGAGGGGCCCGAGACAGCGATTGGAGCACAGATTAGCGGGCGGTCCTTCACCGGTCCAGGGGGACGAGGGAGATAGACAGGGGTTGGCTGGTGGAGATGGTGGTGTGTTGGCCGGAGGTGGAGGCGGTGCCGAGATTGCTGCGGCGGTTGAGGCGCACGAGATTCGGAGTGGCGGGGATGAGGGGATATCGACGGGTGGCGGAGGCGATTTCAGTGAGTTTGGTGACGTAGGTATGCCTCCGGGAGAGAGCGTGGGTCTGCCCCGGGACATCAGTGTGGGTATGTAGGACTTATTGGGACAGATCAGCTTCCTGGACCCGACTACTTTCTCCCCTGCCATGCGCATAGAGGTGATGTCGGCGGCAGAGGGGGATGAGGACCGGACACCCCCTGGAGAGACATCTGCAGAGAGGCTAGATAGGCTTGATAGTCGTCGAGCTGGCCTCATGGCACAGAGGGACCCCAGGACGCAGGAGTTGGCCCGTCTTGCGGCCGAGGATCGACAGAGACAGCTGGGGACATTTACGCTGGCGTCCCTCGACGCAGCGCCAAGTGCCCACACGGATCCCCCTGGGTCTGGAGTTCATACAGACGGGGCAGTCAGTGGTCGTTGATGATATTCGCCCATCCGCACAGGCGGAGGGGATAGCACCGACCATCGGGGGGGAGAGGGGCGTGGCGGGGGCCGTTGATGTTGGCGGGGTGGGGGTGCCTATTCAGGCCAGTCCGATGTCCACGTTTGTGGGGGTGACGCACAGGTCGACAGGCGTGATGCAGACGGACAGGAGATGCCACAGACTTTGGTGGTTCCCACTGCTGTGGGGCCAGTGGTGCCACATCAGGCACCGTTTTTGGAGGATCATACGCGTCGTGCACATGGCGGTGGCCCGGTCGATGAGCGACGTGTAGCCAGGGGCGCGTGCATACCTCCGGTCCCTACTTTTGCACCGTCACGGGAGAGGCCTGAGATTAGGTATGTGGCTACGCTTCGGGGCAGCCTCGCTTTTGGTTGTATGACCGCTGAGGAGTTGGAGGAGCACGGCAGGACGGATTTGACGGTGATCGACCGGCGTATTTTCAGGACAGTCCCAAAGGAGGGGCAGGTGCCTCATGTGCAAGACTTGTCTTGGGGGCCAGCCAGCCCCAGCATACCTTCTGGAGGTTCCTTCGCAACGCTATCTGGCGGGGCTGCAGGCCCTTCGTCACCCGCGACTGTAGCTCCGATGGAGGGCGGCAGTCTCACCCCAAGGTCCGCTGCCCATAGACGGAGAGACACTACCGAGCGTGCGAGGGCCTTGTTGGACACCATGTTGTTCGGTCGCACCGATCGGCCATGGAGTGAGACGAGACGGGTGACGACGATGAGTGTCGGTCGTCAGCCAGGTTTGAGAGGGGTTTCCACGAGCGTGAGACATCGAGATGTTGCAGCTTCTGGGTTTGGCGGTAGAGGCGGTGGCAGCGGTGGCAGCGGTGGCGACGGCGACGGCAGACGTGAGGGCGCAGGCGGTGCCCCGGCAAGCGCAATGGATCCGCCCTTGAAGTACGGTTTGAGAGAGGCGTCGATTATTTTGCAGGAGCTTGACGTTGTTACACAACCGGGGCAGGCCCGACACGTGCCCTTAGATCGATGCCAGGAGGGGGAGACTTCAGGGACAGACGGTCTACCTATGGCACGCGAGTCACGCCGACTTGTTGACCTAGCAGTCGTAGGCACCGGGACGGTGAGAGGCAGGAGAGTCATTATGGACGACGACCCCAACGAGACTCCCGAGCCTTCCACTGCAAGACGCGGCGGGCAGCATCGGAGAGATCGAGGGCGTGGCAGTGGTCGGTCCCACACACGAGGTGGTCATCGGTCCGAGCGAGATTCGCGTGCACACGACGATTGTTGATGGACTACGGACTTGCGTTTTCTTGACTTTCTCAGTGTAGTTCAGCTTTTTGTTATCCATGATAGACATAGTGTTTCATGATGTTATATTATAGTCTATTTTTCAGTCGGTACTTTTCTGTGCAGTTCGGTACTTCGGAGATTGTATTTTTTTAGTCTATTTTTTAGTCTACTTTTTCGTCGGCATTTTTGGGTTGGTACTTCTTTCCATAGACTGGCGGGGCTTCGACACGATGTCGCGCGCGGCGGTCTCGCACCCTATCGGGAGGGCAGAACCCCACGCAGAATATTTTCTTGAGAAAGAACCAGTCACCACTCCGACCGTGCGCGCGTGCTATACCTCTCACGACGCCCCACGACAGGTCGGGGAGCCGCGAGGTACAACTTACCTTTACCCGAGGGGCTGTCACCACGCTCATGTAGGCGTATCCTTGCTGGGCTACCGGCCCACATGCGAAGGCTTTTACATGCCTTTGTAGAGGTAGGTCGGCCGAGGGCGTTTGCTCGATCGCTGTAGCATAAGATGGGGTACGCGCAGTAAGACGCCTAGAACTGACCCGTTAGATATTCAGGTCGAACTTTTAAAAGGCTGTCTATTTCCGCTACTGTGTAATGTATTATTTCCTTGACAAATATAAATCAAACCATCATCCTACCAAAGAGAGTCCTATCTTTCTAAACAGGTTAGGACTTAACTGAACATCAAGATGTATAGGAGCTAAATTGGACATATGATGAATATGGAAGTATTACCATCGATAACCCTTCCCACTTTCACAAGTGCTGTGTGTCCGAGACTCTTCAACAGACCAGGTCTAGTTCAATCGAAAGTCACGCACAAAACAAACCTACACATAATAATGCAAGGACAATTCACATGCCATGCACTAACGGAGTCAACCATCAACCATTGACCTTGTCCCTCACTTCCCAAACCATGCATGACAACCTTGTCTTTCCTGAGACGTAAGCCCAACCCCCTCACATTTCTACAAAGGACCCTTGAGAGTGACTAGGACCATTTAGGCAATGACCACAGGTGACAGTTTTACTGACCACATGATTTGACTTTGGAGGTGGGTATCAAGTCAAAGGGGAAAAGTTGCATCGGCAACAACCGACCTGTTATCGAGAGATGACAAAAATTTGGGTCCTTTCTGTAGAACCTCTTCCTTGAAATGCAATAGATAAACAGGGACCTGCACATACACAGGTCAACAAAGATTCAACACCCCCACTCGCTTTCCCACATATCGATATCTAAGGGTCAAGCCCTTAGACATGGGTAGTGAGCTCTGGGATCGACACCCCAGGTCTAATCCCTAGCTTTACTCTCACAACCCTACCCTAAGCCGTCTGTCACTTTCTCCTTTCTCTCAAGGAGTCTCATGCCTGTGTCCTAAGCCATCCTTAGGGCAACTCATGTTTACCCTACTCTCAGTCCTTCTCTCTCTTGGAGATAAGCGTGTCGTTCTGGCACTCGTGTAGATGAGATATAACTTATTCATTGTTGTGGTCTTCTACCCGAAAGCCACAGACAACTATGAATTACGTGATGGTTCTCTTTCTACCGGTATTCTCTTTCTCACGGTCCTATCTTATTACCTTGTTTCTTTTCCTAGATACGTGAAGACCTTGCTCCAACAGGAGCATTGCTTCTTTCCTTTCTCTTCTATTTGTATTAACATACTCAAGTAGTAGGTTGATTCAGACATGAATCTCTTGCTACTTGATCAATACCAAACAATCTGTTAGTCAAAGCAGACAGTCGAGTTAGTTACTCATGAGTAGTTGACTCTCTGCTTAGTCTCACTCACTGTATACATAAGATCTGATCGGAGTAGCAGGATAACTCACACATGAGTATCCCTCCTACAACAAATAGTTGAGGCTCCTACAGAAGCACCCCACTACTTTCTCTATGTATATTCCTGGAAGATCCGGATGTCAAACCCTCCTCAGAGGTTAATAACGGTCTGTGTGAATAATAGGCGACCCACACAAGGGCCCCCTACTATCACATGAGAAGGTCCACTTCATGAGGGCATATAGGATAATCCTAACAAGGGTATCCTGTTGCCCTTCTGAAGCTGACCGTCCTAGGACCGGGTTAGTTTGGACAGAGGACGAATGTTTAGGGTATTTCTACAGGAGCACCCTTCTCTTAAGTTAACATAGAATCAAGTAGGTAGTAGACAGACCCCAACAGAGGCCCCTCTCCAACCTTCTTTGGGTAATGAGTAGTCCAACCGTTAAACAAGTAATAGGACGACTCCTACAGAAGCCTCCCTATTACCGGTTCGGTGGTCGGACTATCAGAGGGTAAGTAAGCTAGGAAAGGAAGAGTAGAAATATGATTTCCTACTCTTTGCTGATTGTTAGTCAGTCTTAGACTTAGCGTGTGACTAGGATGACCCTCCCTGGAGCCTTCCTTATTATTTTCTAAGATTCAGACCCCTTTTTCCGTCACGACGACAGTTGCTCCGGTAGATGGTAAGGTAACTGACACATGAGTACCTAGTTTACTTCATAAGTTAGTGTTAGACATCCTTTCCCGTCACGACGACAGTCGATCTGGTAAGGTAGTGAGGCAACTCACACATGAGTGCCTTGGTTAGCTCATAGTTAGTGTCAGAACCCTCCTCTTGTCACGACGACAGTCGCTCCGGTAGAGAGTACCTATTTTAGCTCATAAGTATTTGCTTGTACCCTCGTCCCATTATGACGACAGCCGTTCCGGTAGAGAGCACCTATTTTAGTTCGTAAATTTATTGTTAGATACCCCTTCCTGTCACGACGACATTCGTTATGGTAGAGAGTACTTAGATTATCTTATAAGTATTCATCAAATACCTCTTCCCCTTACGATGACAGCCGTTACGGTAGAGAGTGCCTATTTAGTTTATAAGTTATAGTCAGATACCCCCTTCCCGACACGACGACAGTCGTTACGGTAGAGAGTGCCTACTTTAGTTTATAAGTTATCGTTAGTACCCTCCTCCCATCACGACGACAGTCGATCCGGTAGAAAGTACCAATTTTAGTTCATCAGACACCCCCTTCCCGTCACGACGACAGCCGTTACGGTCAAGGGTACCCAATTTTAGTTCATAAGTTATTGTTAGATACCCCTTTTCTCATCTTGACAACAACCGATTTGGTAAGGAGTACTTGAATTAGTTCATAAGTAACTATTTGTACCCTTGTTCCATCACGACGACAGCCGTTCTAGTAGAGAGCACTTCGATTAGTTCATAAG